GTACGTACGTACGTACTACTCTCTCTCTCTCTCTCTCTCTCTCTCTCTCTCTCTCTCTCTCTCTCCTTACAATAATCCGCTTCGATGAATCCGTTATTTTTATATCTCGAATTGAATTAAGAAGAACGTTGAACGTTGCTCTTAATAAAAATTGTTATGCGTCATTGATGCAGATTTTTAATGAATGCTGGTAGAAATGGTGATGGAAAAGTATTATTATCAGAAAGAGTTGCCCACTCTAAAAAAAAAGAAAAATATCGTTGACAATCACGGCCTTCTATTGTTCGATATTTAATAAAAAAGAAAGAAACGAAGAAAATTTCACTATTCTACACAAAACAAGATATAAGATATCTTCGATTTCCAGAGATAATAATAGAATTCGAACGACACGTGCAATTCTTCCTCGCATCCAACTATGAATTTCCTCGCTAATGTTGTGCCAACAGCAACCATTTTTTCTTTTTTTTTTTTCTTTTTCCCCTGTCGCCTCTCGTCGCCACCATCCGCCACCGATAAATTCATCCCCCTTCGTCACCGCCTATCCCACGTTTTCCAGTCCCACCCTCGTGGCGCATATTAATCGTCGCGGGTGCACGTTTCCAAAGCGGCAGCTTTTTGTCCCTTGAATTCGCCGCATTGCAGATCGTCAAAGATCGTCCCTTTCCGTGGATCGAGTTACAAAGATGGAAGATTGAAAAAGATCTTGGGACGAATGTTGGCGATTAAGCGTAAACTTATTTACAGGGTGTCGGGCGGGGGCTTTGCGAAATCAAAGGTGCAAAGCCTTGGCAGACGGAGCGGAATCGGAGGAAAATTAACGAAACATCGCCGAGAAAGGGGGATGGAAGGGAAAATGGGGGATGGCTCCTCGTTCCCGGGCAGCTAACTAGAGAGGAGGCCTTTGAGCATCTCCGAGTTCGGCTCAGCAGATCTGTAAACCAATCAGTGACGCCTCGCCGATACGCTAAGTCCACGTAACCGGATCGCTCGACTAAACTGCTTACTTGATTATGGCCGTTAGT